CTTCGTCAAGTCACACAGCCACTCAGTGCACCATCGAATATGCAGATGTCGAGCGGTGAACTGGCCAGCCTCATGTGCCGTACCTGGCCTCGAGTGTTCCTCGTCGAAGCCATTGAGGCCTTCATTGGTGGTGGCGTGGAGGGAGGCAAATTCGTCAAGTTTCTGGGTGTAATATACACCATGGAGGCTTCTGCAAGTCAGGGTGAGTGTGATTTCGTCAACGCGCTTTTCGATTTAAGATGTTTTTTTGCTGAATCATGGAACTCGTGTCTGAGTACAGTCAAGTAACTGTAGTTCTTGCATCCACCATAACAACTGGTGGCTCTTCTTTCAGACATTTTCATTTTATGATGAAGCCAGAGAAGTGAAGAGAGCATTGCAGCCTACCGTCCTTACCAGCCTAGTCACTGTGACCTTCAACTTGATTTACAGTACTCCCCTTCCCATTGCTTGATTCTACTGGCTGATATTAAACCAACTCATTGTCTCATGTGCTCTTGACAATTATCCAACCACCATAATAACCGAACCAGTGTAACCAACTTAACTAATTGTAAGCTATCCTAATCTTCAGTTCTACGCACATGCATGAGATTGCGTTGAAAAGTAGTACAGCCCAAGGAATTGGAGGAGGCTGAAGGGAACTATTCACTCTCATCGATCTCATTCATCATCATGTCAATGGGTAGACTGAGTCAATTGCCGGAGTGCAGCACTTGTAGGACTCCTTGTCATCCTCCACAACCCTCCGAACCACTTCTCATTTCATTCAATAGTATCTCGATTGCAATCAAGTGTCCGATGTTGCATGCGGGAACTCTAAATATCAGAATGCGATCATTTGTCATGCATGAAGGATGAGTGCTAATCCAGAGTCACGGAAGTTCACACAGTCACGAAGGTGTCTGTGCCTGTCAGGAATGCAAAACCAACCCTCGCACAGACGTGGTTTGAGACTGGTTGCATTTCAGCGACACCCCTTCTTCACCATAATTTCAAAAGTCAATAAATTATCACCAGTTCGGTTTGTGCATGACATTGTGGTACACCCACTGCCTATTAAATCTCCAGAACTGCGTTCTCGCAAAAAACCTTCACACATTCACAAACACACACACACACACTCTGGTGTAACGTGGTGTTAACTCAGTCATATATGCGGTCTTCCGAACCGTGGGAAGTCATGGTTGAAAGGAGAGTAGGACTCACGCTGCAAAGTGCTCACAACTTAATCTACTTAACCACTTAAAGATACAATTTGCCTCAAAATCGTTCATTAGTGCTCTGCATCTCATTATTGGTTAAATAATACACTCGGATGCTTTTAGAGCAACGTCTGAAACAACACTGTCTGAGGTCATATTTTAGATGGGATTACATTCTCCTTGCAGCATGCTTAAGTGATGTAAACCATTGTAAAATGACGGTCTGAGACTGCCACAATTTTTGCAACTTGCAACAACCAAATCAACAAACCAGCATAGCTACCCCACATCCACTTCCTGCTGCTTGACACTTCACCGCTTGACCATTTCACATGCCCGGGCTGGCAGCTGTGGGTGGTGCAGATAAGACCATCGACACGTAAGTAGTTGAACAAGGTGTAGGCATGCTCATGACACAAGTAATCTGCATTCCACACGCTGTCTGATGACCAAATGACATTCTTAAATCTATACATTTTAAATCCATACTCGACATCGCTTCGTGTTGCGTATGAACTGACCCAGTAGGTCAATCGCACGATTATTTAATGCACTCAGATTGGCTCAGGTATTCACGAATGCATTCGCCAGACGATGCCACCACGAGTCATGCTTTGCCCCACATGCAAATGATTGGCGTTGCCAGCACAGTCTCTTAAGGTCGTGTCGCGGTTGGAGATCAGAAAAAACGGTCCACTACAAGTGTACCGACCAATTCAGACATTTGTTTGAGTGAGCTCACACCGCGGACAGCAATGCACTGCGGAAGTGGCACGTGATGTGGTGAAAAGTGGGAGGGGGAGCCTGTGGACAATGAAGGCGATGCACATGTGGTTTGTCAAGACTCACCCAAAGGAACCCAACTGTGACAAAGAATCAAAATCCAAAGGATTACATCAGTCGCAGTGTACATTTAGGTGGCAGTCAGTTTAGGTGAGTTTACATAAAAAGCATGGGAAAGAAGAGGTCGATAGCATTGGACAGAACTGGGAGTAATGACAGGGGATCACCTGAAACTACGCGTAATTGACTGACCGATTCTATTGATCGGCTTTGAATGTAAAGGTCGGAGCCACCACCACCTCTGGGATATCCCCACAAAAATCAGCATATTGACAAATTAATCAGCTTATTTCACCATGTCAAAAAACACAGCTCTAAATGGCCACCAGTTACGAGGGCAAAAGGTGACGTAGTGGTGGGTCAATTGTGCCCAATTTCGCATAGCCTGATTCCCTCAGAATAAACACATCGCACAATCGCTACAATGCAGCATGCAAGTAGTCGATGTGGGTCTTGTGTCAGCACAATGATGGCTGTTTAGATTCCATCACGAATCAACCGCTTTTCAGCCAGACTCAGTGGATACGTGTCAAAACGACCGCACTGATCCCCTCCTGTCACACATTCGCATGCAAGATCATGCAATAGCTGTAGTATTTGGCTACTAGATTGTGCACGGTGTGCGTCGCGTGGCACATAGTGTGATGAGTGAACCTTCTTTGGTGGGTTGTGGTGTTTGACAGAGGTCATTATACCTGATCAGCTTGAAACCAGGTCAACTTGACATTAAGCTGCCAGTTACACATGTCTTGCAGAACACTGCACAAATACGAAGTTCAAAGTAATTTTTACGTAAGTGTTTTCAAGTTAGATTAATGTTGCCAATAGATGCTTGAAATCTACTGCACTCATTTAAGCGATACTACGGACGTTTTGTTTACGGCCCTAACGAGTGCGCCTGACACACGAAAACCCTAGAATGAAGCCCAAAAGAATTCAGCGGAATTATCACGCAGATCTTCCAAAACCATATTTTTAGACATTTTTCCTTTGGGGACAAGTGCCTACATGGCCACTGCTAGCATGCATTCACTGTCCCAGTAGGCAGACAATGCCAACTTTAGGTAATTGCTGAACTATGAGGTGGTGGCCTGGCTGAACTTCAACATATAACCATGATTTGTTAATCAGCTTCCTTGTTAAGATGTCCCCAATCTTCTTTAAAGGCTGTAGTCCAAGTCACTTGTCATGCGTACGATCTATCCATGCCAACGTAGTTCGCTGTGTGGTCACCCAGCCAAATAGAGTTGCTTCATTTATGCAATTACCCTCCTTTTTGGAATAGGCCTATACTCTGCGACATACTAAACACCAGCCCCCATGGCGTTGTTTTAGCACAATACAGCTCGAAGTATCCGAGGAAGAAGTAAAACGGGAGGAGAGGGGACTTGACCGTTTTATTAAATCAGCAAATGGGTGGTCCTCTGGTGTGTGACAAGGTGTCGGTTTAAATAGGAGCGACTAGCATTTAATGCATTGGAGGAAATCCACCATGGATGGTGCTAAGTGCTTATGCATTTGTTAACTGTCTTAAGCACGTCTCGCTTTGGCAAACAGATCACGATTAACTATTACGACCTCCGAGTAGCTTTCTCGACTAGTTAAATTCAACTAAACAGGTCTGGTCGTTGTTCAATTTTAGCCACATCTGGCACCTAGAAACTTAAAGAGGTTTTGCTTCATACACACCCACGTACCTTTCTTAATTCTATGTGTTAGTTTCGAAATTAACAAGTACGATGCACTATAATTGACCAATGAGCCAAATGGCTTATGGTGTGGCGAGGAGCAAGCAAGCCGTCGTGAGCGAACGCAGTGTGTGAGCTTGAGTGAACACGGTTCAATCGATTTTTCGTGAATGCACTTCTTGCAACTACGTGCGTTCACAGATCGATGCTTAGTGAAGCTATATAAACGCACTTATTATCCGGCACAAATACACACTTCTACCGCATCCATAAATTAGTTGAGTGACGCGCCATCTGCATTTTTACTTATCCTCCGGTTGGGCTTTGTCAGTAGATCGCCGGCCCTGGTGTGGTTTCCCAAAACCACTACAATGGAAACAAGCAAGTCGCAACCACGTATCTGTGTAGATCAGCAGATCCGAGGAACCTGTTTCACTGCCTAAGGGCACTTTTATTCTCAAGCCCTCAATGAAATTTAGAAACTATCGTTAGGCAGATTTGGCACCACGTAAATGTTTGTGTGTTTGTGTGTGTGGACTTGCAAGCACAAAGACGCCCATCACTTTCTGTCTTCACTGTCTGACAACTCAGAATAATTAAAGTAAACACCAACCCGTCTAAAAAACTTTTTATCATGTTGATCATGAGCTAAACTCATGCGTGATTAATTTGCCGCTTTTTTGTAAACCCAATGGAAGCTTCATGACATGTACGTAATTTGCAAGTGGTACCAAATGGTATCTTCGAATCCATTAGACTGCTGGTAAAGACTACTAACGAGACATGCAAAATAAAAGACACGAAATCTAGTTTATAGCGCGCCATTGACCAGCGGACTGAGTCACCTTTAAAATGGTGCGGTGCTTCTAACAAGCGCAGTTATTTCATAATTCTCGTGTAAACTAAGTGGAATTGAGCACAGTTAGTGAAAATTGTCGGATAAATTGCAATGTATTGGAGCCACGAGGCAGTAAGCTGGAAGTTGTTCACAGAACACGTTTGCTAAGCAGAGCTGCCTTTCACAGAACTCATGACTTATCATTTGCCTTATTCTTCAGTGGAACAAAGTCATGTGCGACCTACTAGTTTGGCGCCTTGCGATTGGCTGAGACTTGTAGCCCATCGTTGTGCCATACTTTATAAGTGACCCTAAGACATTGACAAACAGTTTTCACAGGTGACCCTGTCTAATGATAGGAGTCGTTCTTGTTGCCGTTGCAGTCTGCCTTCAGTCACTTAGCTGCTGTGGTGAGTCGCCCATTACCTGGCCGGATGCGCGTCACTTCACTGCGAAGGTCGATCGGAAGCAAGGAAATTCGGTCATCCTCACATGGCCCTTCAAATCCTTTTCCTCTCAGGACAGCCTCATCAGTTTTTCTGTAAAGATCCTAAGCTTGCCAGATGAAGAAGTTGCCTATACTCGGAGTGGGTTGTCCTCCTACAAGTTCACGTTTAGAGCGAGGAGTAAACCAGCAGAATACCTCGCAATGGGAAAACTGCAAACAAGATTTAATAAAGATGGCATTAACGCCAACCTGACTTTCAAAGTAAACGGTATGATTGTCATTTAATTGACTGCCGCACCCCACATTTTAGTTAAGCGACGAATGCAGGCTTTTATTCGTTATCATTAATACCTTTTTATTTGAGTTTGAATGGCAGTTACGTAAACAGGCACAGATTTGCAGCTGGTGGTTACTACTAGGTGGGCCATGCGCACAGTGTAGCCGCTATGAACAAAAGCTCAGGAACGAGGCCTAGTTACAAGTTGAATTTTATTGCTCTCATGTTCACTGTCCAGGCAATTGGTGCACTCGTTTGTTTTGAAATCTTAAATATAGTTTTTGCACATTGTGCCAATTTAAATATTGTTATGCAAAGCCGAAATAGGACAGTAACGACAAGTAATTGCAACCACACATATTACCATGTTAGGTACCTTCTTCTCTACAGATTTTTAATTTGCAATTGCAATTTTAAAACCATGCGTTTGAAACTTATTTCATCAACAAGTCATGTTCACCCTTTTAGCTGAAATGTTCTTTGGATCAACCGATTTCCTGTGAGTACTTTTCTGTTTTTTTTAAATTACAACAGGTAAGTTCTCGGATTTGGCAAAAAATAGCTTACTTAAACTTTTACAATTTCGAAAAACGTGGCTTTTGCAAATTACAGATAGTAGAAAGGGATATTAGCGAATAGGTGCATTCAGGGGCCATAAGATTTCATTCAGGAAATCCTTCAATGATTAACTGATGCGTTGACAATAGGAGGTTAAATTGGCCAGTATGCCACAACAAAAAGCTGAGTCAATAGCAGGTTTTGTAGTAACTAAATCGCCAAAGCATTCGAAAGTTTAGATAGTCTCTTCACATATGTCAGCGAAAGGGTCCTACAAATTGTCAAAAAGTAAGACCAGTTCGCATAACTAAAATAATTCTGACATCAAACGCATCTACTAGACCGTGAAAGTCAATAGGGGAACTGAGCAGGCACATGCTGTCGGAGCACATTTCCGGCTATGAAAGAAGGCTTTGATTAACTTAATCGCCAGTTTAAAAAAATTTGACTTTTGTGCTTTATGTGTCATAAGCATGAATGTACCGTTTTCCTAATTGTGATTACTATGCGTCATTAGAATAAGGTTTTTAAAGATTGCATAGCAAGAATCAAAATAACAAGGTCATGTTTTTTAGACCCCAGTTCCAGCGCCTGTTTTCTGCAATCAGAAATGATGAATTAAGGTTGTACATGGGGGCGCTACACCTTAAACGGATGTCCGTGAGAAGTTATTGAACCAAAGGTTTAATGTGTTTCCATGTGGCCAATAAGAACTTGAACATGACCCAAGCCCTACCGCGCGATAAAATCATTTAAAATAGCAAAATGAGTGCATCCACCTACCCTCATGACTACAATCTACGAGGAAGCTAGATAGATATTTTGACGAGTTACACTTCGGTTTGGATGTCGGTGGCAATTTTACGAGTACATCAACTTCGGCATGTTGGAATTAAATAGAGACGAAATGAGCATCCCAAATGCCATTGTATTGTTGTATGCTTTACATGGTCCCACTTAACGTAAAACAAGTTTCATTTAGCGACTAACCATATCCATTTAACGAAATGCAAGCCCCAGGTCTCACGATGAAGATTTGTTCTATACAACCCTGTCAAGAAACCGGGCCTTATAATTTTGTTGTAATCCCTCCTGAATGCAACTGTTGTTTTACATTAAACAATAGCTAAAAACTTACTGCTAAATGGCTCAACACCCACGTTGTCAAACGTGAAGTTACCATCATCATTGCAATATCAAAAAGCTAACTTATTTTTCTTTTTTGTTGTAGTCCCATTCATGAGATCCCTCAAGTCAGAGTTGTAGGAGAAGGGCCATCCGTTGTCATTCTGAGGGATCGGTCAACACAAGGCTGCCATCTGGTCATCTACAATTCGGACGCGGACGTCGACCGTTACTCGGTGCGTCCAATGTTTGGGTTAACCAAATGATTTTGCCCATTAATGCCTTTTGGAAATTGCACAGAAGAGCTAGTTGATTTCAGGGGGCTTCTACGCATAGACAGGGAAGTGTACTTTGTCATCCTGAAGAAAGTGACAGCAACAGGATGTTATAATGTCTTTTTAAACATTGAAATGTGGCATTTGACGACCCCGTGGGGTCTATCTTCAAGCATACACAAATCGTGCAAACAGATTGTTTTCGTATCTCCGACGATGTACCATCGGAGGAATTTATCCCTTTCTGTCAGTTTTCCTAACAGTTCCAACTTGTAAAGGTGCCCGAGCCAGAGTGTAAAGAGTGTGTTGTACTTCCCAGATGTCTTCTGCCACTCTATCACATTTCACTTTATATTTTGACCTTTGGATAACTTTAACTGACAGATATGGTGCTAATTTACGTGATTTTGGTTATAAAGTAGGATCAACGATATGGACTAATTTAACGCATTCCCATAAAATGTGTTCCATTTGTCGTCAATAGTCAAAAATTCTAGACTCCTGGTTGATCCTCGGACTTCATTGTCTACATTCATCTAACTATATGCCGATAAATAGTACTGAATAGAAACGATATATGACGACAATTGTGCTTACTCTCGAATGCCACAGATTGTGGTTGAGTTCCCATTCAGCGGGAACTGTTTTTACCTATGAACTGCAGAAAACTATATGAGATTCGACAACTTCGATTTACCTCAAAGCTTATTGAATGAGATTGCACACGGTTTTGAAAATGTTATCATCTTTGAAATGGAATTGATGTTCTGCATGAAAAGGCCGCTCCAAAATACTAATTCCCTGCATTCGACTGTGGAATTTATATTTATCTGTTTTACAAATGAAATCCTGATACCTTACTTGGGATTCACCATGAAGTGCATTTCTAACCCTTCTTCCTATGAACTAAGTGGTCGTATTCCATCCCTGGAATAAGCACTGTAGTAAGACTGCTGAATTTCAAAGTGCATAACACCAACCGCAACCGCCAAATGTTGCTGACTTTACAGCGTCATTCTATTGGCTTGGCTTTTCGAGGGTTTGGTGTTGTACCTGGGAGCAAACACAGAACAAAATCGCTTTCTCTGATTTCTGCTCTGACGCCTCTTTTAAGCATTCGGTTCTCCTAAGCTCCAGTGCGTATTTCTTGAAACCTTAAGATCTCATCGTTTTCCATGTTAAATATCTTAGACCATTTAAAATCGTATTTGGGGTTCATTAAAACACGGCTTTTTATATTTTTCGGATGTTGGGATTCGTTAGGGAAAATTGTCTTAACTCCGAGATCCATTCTTTGCAATTAGATCTATGTGTAAATTTAATGATTTTGGACGCATCACTTTTTTTCTTATTAGAGAACTCATTTTTAATGCTTAGATTGAAGCCACAAGGGAATGTAAGGACAAAAATCGTCCCAAGCTGGCTTTTGCACTACCGATGAAGAATAAAACTGACCCACTGCTACCTCACCTGAAGCTACTCGATTTCCAAGTTCCACATGACTTCCTAGAGGATATGCCTCCCTTCTACGTTACTTCCCACCCAATTGTGGAGGGACCTCCTTTCGAACGTAAGGTTCACATCGCTTTGGGTCGTTCAACCTTTCTCAAATCCAGAGCGTCTAGTTTTATCCACGCTATTCTAGGCAACTACGTTAGGATTAGGATAGTTCTGCTCGCTAAGTGTGGTAGGGAGTTTGTGTTAGCTGACCGAAGTAAATCCACAGCCCTTCGATGACAGGAGACTTCCCAGATGAATGGGTTGTTTTTAAGTGAAATGCAAAGGACTCTTGAGAACGCACCAGATTTGGAATGGCGAGAGGACCTGTGAGCCAGGTTTATCCTATTAAAATAATTTGATTTGGGAAAAAACATTTGCTGTACACTTCACCAAGCATTATTACTAAGGATATCCTAGAGTTCCAGAAATCACCAAGCAAGCACGTTCCAGCATCATTATCTAAGAGATGAGTTTGAGAATTCCAAGTCACACGGATTGTAACTTCCTTCCTTGCCCCTTAGGTCTGAGAGTATTGAGTTTGCGCCCATCTATTTCTATGCAACTCAAGCAGTCCAAAAATCGAGCAGCATGCGTCAGCTTACTTTAATTACCTTATTGTTCCCTAGTTGACCCTCCACAGAGTATCTACGGTGTTTTGAACCTCATGTCGCCGTCGCACTGCCACCTCGTATTGCGTTTTCGACCACCGGCCTCCAATTCGAAGTTGATAAAGAACTTTACATTCACATTTGGCCACTCACAAGAAAGCCTTGTGCTCAAAGTAGTCGAAGACACGGTATGTCCGGCTCAGTCTTTTTTACTGTACACTGATTTATTAACGGATCTTTTGGCTGCACCACCCTCAACTGCTTAGCTTATTGGCTGACGTAATAATATTTTGCCAAAACATCTGGTGAGAGCATTTATATTTGCGGGTAATTTTTTAGTCAATGATCATATTGATGTCAAAAATAAGTAAACTAAAGTGTTGACTAGTGGTTCTCGAGTCCACACAGTAGACTATAGTTCCGTAAAGACCAATCAACTTCATTATCTCATGGAAGGAAGACGATGCTATGTGGGTACTCGGTAGTGTAACTTGGCATTCCCTCAGTCGTTTTAAATCTCAAGACACCAGAAGAAATGTTTCCCTTTCAAGCCAAGTTATATGCCCTGATTAGTCACATTGTATTTGGAGTTTACGCAAGTTTCGATGTGGACTCTTCCGATAACACTAAACTAGCTGACTTAACTGAAACCTCCACTTAGAATTCAGCGATGGACACGATGCCATTGCTGTGGTACCGGGGCCCAGTGAAATCTTGTGCGTAAATTCATGAGATCTGCACTATCCCAGGCGTCCGGGTCAGGAAAAATCGGTGCAATGAAACATGCCAGACGCCTTCGACAATCAGGATCTGGCACACTAATTCCCGAGGCCGAAAGCATGTTATTTCACCGTGCAAGCAGTGTTTCAGTTGTTTCAGATATTTCTGTAGAATGTGACAGCTTCATGCAGAATTTAACCATAAACAAGCTTTCACGGTAAAAGTGGGAGCGCAAGACTCAAATGCCGAAAGCACAAATCCCCAAGTGAAGGGCGACTTCAGTAAAAGTCACGCTGACACGCCAATCGATGTTGGAAGGCAAATGTGTGTGCACTGTGTGTGTGTATCTACGTGTGGCTTTTGCGTATTTGCCACCGTGACCTAATTTTCTAATCAGCCAGTCTCTAACATCTCTAATCCTAACAGAGAGCTGCAGCGAAGACGTAACAGTCATGTCCCAAGAATTCATCAAGGTGTCTGTGTGCTGTTAATAACTCTGGTTATTAACGCACTTGTTTAAATTCATCAGCATATTCCACGGGCTGCCTAGGGGAGGTTCATTTAAGACCACAAACAACTCCAGCATGCACAGCATGAGGAATGCTGCTTAGATTGCTGGCGAGCATGCAGGAGGCATTTACCTGGAGTCAGTCTGATCTTCGCCACAATGCCTCCGTCTTAACGTATTGATTATTATTTCCGAATTCTCATAAGTCACAACTGCGAAGCAGAAGAGAAAATGCGCGGCTGATTTTATTGATAGTTAATTAGAGCAACCGCACAGCTACAGAGTAGACGGAAATCAGCTTTTGACTTGGATTTGCCGTTGGTCTCACAGGTGCACTTTATCGGGTTATGGCACCCTTACTCAACTTTCATTATTCACTTACTTAACCAACTTGAACCAGTGGAATGTTCGCGTTAGGAGTTTTGGAATAAATCGTTTTCAAAAAACAAGGGTCAATGTAAACGGTTAAAAGGTGTCATGAAGTAATCCGTTGTTTTGACTTTCGTGACCTCTACTGTTCATAATTGTAATGGACATATTTAATCACTCTACACAGCAATTTGCCATTGTCGATCCCTACTTACGCCCGTCTTCTAGAATCTGCCAGTGCAACCAGCGGTATTTGCTTATTGTTTTCAGGTTGTTTATTCCCAAAATGTTGTCGATATGTCATTTTGTGCCCCTTTCGGACATGTCACCAGCTACTCTTCGTCTTTGCCCAGCAACTAAAAAACTTTGACCAAGCGTCAGAGGTCCCATGATGAAAAGAATTTATTTGGAATAAAAAAATCGTTGATAGTCTTTTCTTGTAACGCCTTAGAAAGGACCTTTTTATCGAGCGCGTAGGGATTCCGCTAGTTAATCCGGGGATGCAATATTTGCGCATGATATTTCATATAGGGCAGTATTTTTGTTTAGTGATTTTACCAGGCCTTTTGCAGGGAGAGCTTTTAGCATTGTGATCATAATAAAAAGGCTGACTTTGAATTTTGAGAAAAACATACTAAGCAGTAGCAAAGGCGATAAATCCATAGGCCATGCATCAATGAACTACCATCTCTGCGTTTCATTACCATTTAGGGGCGTCCAGACGAGAAGACATTGGACGTCATTACAACTGACCAGCTACAGAGGGCTCAACGAGACCCAGAAGTATTTTTGGAAGTTTTTCCGAAAAGCGTGTTCGAATATCCAGGCAATTACACCGTTATTGCAAGCACAAACAACGCAACGCAGAAGCGGATAGTTGTCCCTATCATAATGCCCCAGTTCTGTGAGTGTAATTCAAATTTGCCAAAGTTCAAATCCATGCTTTGAAATGTACATTGACGTTGTGGGATATTTAATTGCTCGAGTACTAGCAATTACTCTTCTATTGACTAATGATACCTTCAGAGTTGTGCAGCCATGTGCTTAACGACGTCATCTCACCTTCTGGGCACTCGAAATAAAAAATTTCACATGAACGACCGTTTTGAGGATTGCTAAGAGGGCGACTATGCGACAGTAGCGTTGGGCTACCCATTTTGCCAATATTCGTTTCCATCCTAATATATTTGCTAATCGGCGCCGATACAGTCACGTGTTGAAGGTGACATCGTCAAAGTGGTCTGTAATGGATTGTCAATAATTACGCGTGACCTAATATTACAATGACACATCCCTAATTTTTAATTGGTCACTGTTATTGATTACTTGTTATGCACGCGCGCTCATCCGCACAAAAACCTTTGGCTGGTTTAACGCTAGTCAACGGTCGTATGCGCCTTTGTTCTCGGGTTGCTGCTGCCAGTTAACTAGAGGGTTGCAAGGTAGTGCTAAGCTAACCCACTACAGATTTATACCTGACCAGTTCTTAGATTGTTAGAAAAAATAATCAGCGACAAACCATACATTTTTAAACATGTGTTTACCTAGCGCCTTTCATTCTAAACCAGTCTCGCTAATTATTTAGCCACCTACACAGTTCGTTGGCGCAACAGGCCCCTCTAAAGTATCTCAGATCGAGTTTCTCAGGCCTGTGTGTAGCACTGAAAATTCGTTAGAAACATTAGGCAAACAAAATTTATTGTTCACGGGAGTTAAAGAGGTCAACACACCCACTAATGCACTTCATTTCCAGGGTTTTAATGCATGGCTTTCTTGTAATTTGTTTGGTGAATTCACGTTTTAGTTCCTCGAGAGCCTGAAGGTCAAAGCATTGTTGCTGATGATTGGGGCGTGAATGTCAAGTGGGGTAAGCCGCGCCTCTTCGGGACCTCCTGTGTCTACACAGTGACCGCTGCGCCGATTGAAGACGCTGGTCAGACGCGTGCAGTCCAGTCTGTCGGTCCAGCTCGTAATGCAACATTTCGAGGACTCTCTGGATCAACTGACTACACATTTACACTTCAGACCAACTGCACTGACGGTAAAGCCATCTTAACGGATTTGGGCACTTTTCGAACAAATCCAGAAGGTGAGTCGAAATGTGGCGAGAATTGTTTTGCCTGATTCCTGTACCCAACGCTTCTCACTCTAACGTATTGATGTTCTAATGTAGCACAGATCGTCCACTTGTCACCATGCTCTTGGCTTCCTCTAGCTCTCTGCCACTGCTAATTGGATTGCCTCAGTCGAAGACACTATTGTATTAGATTGGCCTAGTATGACTCCCGCCGTCAATTGCCCTGTTACTTTGAATGTCTCAAAAGTACCTTGAGATTAATCGATGTACCTGATCTAAGATAAAGCTTCAGGTATTGCTCGGGGCTTAGAGAATGACTGGTAATTGTCTTTTCAAAAACCAGCAAAGGGCAAATAGAACCATATCAGCAAGCGCGAACGCCCATTCGTGTCTTATCATAGCAATTCTCATAAATAGGCCCGATTATGTACTGGGTTCTGGAACTGGCGAAATCAATATCAGTAATTTTGAATCGGCTATTATTTGTCTTCCTAGTTCCTAGGGCTCCAGCAAACCTCAGGCTGAGTACGTCTACAAAGGGCACTCTTAACGTGACCTGGGAAGCCCCATTAAATCAGTGGGGTCACTTCAAGTACTTGTGGAGGTGCTACCACTCAATGGGAAGTCAAATGAGTAGGTACACAACTGAAACACACACCGACTTCCCAGTCGGGCCCGGCAATATTACATGCAACGTTGCTGCAACCAACACCGAGATGCATTTTGATAAATGGGGTCCGCCGAGTCAATCCGTTTCCTTCGTCGTGCCCGCTGGAGGTGAGGGATTTTTTATTACCCATTTCGTACAAGAAGAACGAGATTTCCCACTCATATAATTCATACACCTGTGTCTTTCTAAGGTTCACAGCAACTGACAGTGTTTGAATCGAAAACATCAAATGAGTGTAGTTGAGACGGCTGTTTTGCACAGTGTTTACCAAAGCCATCTCCTCAGGGATTTTGCCTACCAAGGGGCATGCACAATGTGTTTGGGGTCACCACACTACATAAGCCGTGGACGTTTTAATTTAATAGAAACAGCGATCACTTTATTTTAATTCTAAAATCGAACGATTCTGTTGAGTGTTTGACCCGGCTGTGTAATGACGTCATCTGCAAAACTACGTTTAGGCATGACAAAGTAGTTAGTATGACTTAATGCAATCTCCGCTACATCAAGATTGGTAACTTTAGGACATAAGATAAAGGTTGTGCTAATAATTTGTTGCATTTTTCGATCATTTAGGGCTCCCGGTTGCACCAACAGTCGACATCAGAAACGTTAATGAAACTGCTGTTGAGCTGGAATTGCTATCGACATTGAGGGATGACGTTCTTGGCTTTATAGTCAAGGTCGACTCTAGTCTCCAAATAACTTTTTTCGTCAATAAAGCATTCGGACCAATGAATGTGAGACACCTTGGTAAGTAGTCATCAACACAATGCGAGATGTTACGACAGCTTAGCTTTCCTTTGTCAGAATAAATTTGACCTCTGGGAACGGTTCGACCTTAGCAACACTAATTTGTCAGATTGTCTAACCACAACGATGTCAGTTTGATTTAATTTTCCAATTAAATCCTTACGAAACGGGTTAAAGTAAATAAACTATTTACAGGCTGTCTGACTTTTAGCACTATAGTCCTCTTAGTGGTTTGTATCAGTTCACAAAAGGGAATTTTGAGTTGACTGATTTTAGGACATGCACGAATACTGGATATTTTTAACAGTCCACTTAACTTGCACTTTACAATTCGTCGGTTTCGGTCCATGAAAGCGCTTTGATCTAGATTAACTGCTGTCGCGCCTGCTCCTATGACATTCCCGTACTAACCGCAGCAAATAGAAGTGTTTACTTTTGTGAAAAACAGATCTATTTGCAAAATCTCTCATTGGATGAGATTTTGAAAACAAATTCTAGTGCCAATAATTAATCCACTAGACGTGACATGTGTACCCCCCTCCCTCACCTTAAACTACACATCAGTTACCTTAAACAGGACAAATGAGTGCACAACAGGCAAGAAGACAGAGCCATGTGACTGGACTCATGGCATAACATCTACCAAATTGTCAGTAAAAACAGTGCACATGTGTATTGTTTCGCAGCATGAGAGGCGTCGTGTGGCAGAGCCAATTGCAAATTTTCACCTAGTTCTTTTGCTTTCTTACGAAACTGCTCTTACTTATTCTTTGGCTCTCTCTGACCTTTTAGGTGTTGAACCTGTTTTTTTTTATTTAAAAAAGACCTGCAGCATGATTTGTTAATGAAGAACATATTAAATCATTTCTTTTTTTACTTTGAGAACTGAAAAGGCAATGGCCGATAAGAGGTCGTGTGTAGGTGTGAATTTAGTGAATTCAATTCGCGTTAAGCATTAACCTTGAAGTACTTCAATATCCGTTAGCTTTGTGTCTCCGATGGGGAAAAAATTTGCTACAATTATTTTATCTCCGCTAGAGTGTACTAACTCAAATTTAAAAAAATTAGTTCACAAAAACCCGCCACTTGCATGAAAATGACTGCTGCTAATTTGCACACATCCATTTACCTTGTAATATTTAATACTAAAATGGTTCAATTTGCCAGCATTTCTGTAGGTCATGGCTTCGTCAGGTCAAGGGAACAATAACTTTCAGGCGGTACTTCAAGTTTCTGGATCAATGCGAATTTCTCAGACTTTCTCAGACTGTAGTGCTTGTGTTCAGTGTAGGTGGAATTAGTGGACAAGTTAGTGGTTATGTAAGTGACTAAATCGATCACAGAGCTCCTGCGCGTAGTGGTTAGGTGGGTGTTCTCACAGATGGCGCATTGCCTCATGGATTAAGCCTAAAGAAATAGCGAATCCAGTGTTCACCCTGCAAATATTGTTGCTTTTTCCAATATCACTGTTGCTTTGGAAGCACGGAGATTTAACAAGTCTGAAAGGCCCTTCTTCGCTTGCGAATGACTCATTCCTTTCCTTGTGGTGTTTCTTCCACTTCTTTATTTCGGGACTAAATAACAAACACTAGACAGTTTCACGTTTTCTTTTTATTTTTTAGGTAACTCGTTAATTAAAGAAAAGCGTACGGGTGCTTCAAGTATCCTACTTGCCAACCTGATCCCGAATAAGGAGCATAAAGTCGATGTTACGACGCTGTTTTATGCAGCTCAAGAAACCACGGCCAATTTCATCATCCAGTCTGCCCCAAATCAAGGTTGGTTGTAGCTACCAGTGTGTTACTTGTGCCTAATTATTTAACAGATGTCATTCATTCAAACTTGCACTTTGACTGCAAGACAGGTGTATTCTTGGACATCAGCATATTGCCAATACGAGGAGAGTAATCAAGTAAATGAAGTGACTTGGCCACACGTACGCATGAAACGTGCGAGCAGGACTACAAGCGTTAAACAGGATTGGTGACATCTAAACAAGGAAGCTGATTACGGAATCACAGTCATAATATTAGGTTGTGCGATGCCGCCGCTTCGCAGTTCAGCGATTACCTAGAGTTAACGTTTTTCATCTATTGGGACAGTGAATGCGTGCTGACAGTGGCCATGGAGGTACTGGTTCCCGAAGGATGTATTTTGATAATTGTGGTTTTGGAAGGTCTGCTTGATAATTTGATTTGATTGGGCATTACTTTATTCTAGAGTCTTCAAATGCATCGGAAGCACTTGTTCGGGCTTCAAATAAAAGGTTTGCAATACCTCAATCTCTGCCGGACGACAGAGTTGATGCCGGCAGTTCCACAGTGAAGAAACTCCATGGTCTCTTCCCCCGATTCCAGAATATCAACTCGGGCGCTGCAACAAACATGACAACTGTGGGTGAGTGAAACAATTGTCGATAGGAGCACTTAGGACCGAAGGCTGAAAGCTGCCATAGAAGGGAAATGCCTACGAGTAGTTTGTGAGGTGGCCAATGCTGGCCAGACGTACTTTGAATTATTCAGCACCCTGGAATTGTTCCCTGACAGATTTTGCTAAAACGTTGAAGTCTTGGCTGTACCAAGTCTTCGGTACGGTGACTTGAAGCGCTGCACTGAGACATAAACCTTTAACGAAGACAAATGGGATAAGGTTGACCTAATGGTTTATCGCGCTCTACACTAAAGACCACAAAGCGACCAATCGGCATTGCAGGTGGGCACACTGGGACCCTCATTAGGCTATGCTGATCGCCTAACCATTCACTATCTAGTTGCTACACACGCACACGCTCCATTCTTTGTGCTTTTTGTGTTACAGGTGGACCACCAGTAACCAGCACATTCAAGCCCCCACTTAATTTGTCGATCTCCAACCTCGGCCAAAACGAGAATCAGCCCATCAGAGTTGCAGCAGCCTTCGCTTCGATCGAGGAAATTGCGGTTGAACGTGCAGCGGAAGAAGGTGTGCTTTGTTGTTCGAAAATGCCTTCTCTTGGCATCTTTGAGTCTTATGGTCGCATTCCTTAAAAACTGCATTCCATCGGGTACAATGGCGACCTTAAGTGTGCCAAAGTAGTGCAAATTCAGACCTAGCTTTGGCAACCTCGGGACAGGCACATTCCTTACCGTCGAACGTTAACGGTAATTATAATAATACAATCTACCAGACTGGTATAACAGAATGTTCTTTAATGCGTGCTACGGCATTGCCAATGGAAACCACTTGGACAAGTTGAGATCAAGCATGTGAAGAAGCGGCCGGTTAAAAGCCTTCATCGCGCGACCACACCGTTAGCTCTGTCCTACCTAACGAAAGCACCTCGAGTTTGTCATCTTAAAGGGACTAGACGAGGCGAAAACCAATAAGACAGAACCAATCAGGTCGTCTTTAGATTCGTACAAAACTTCCTTTACCGATTGGACTTCTTATACCATGTGCAAACCTTATAAGAATGTTTGACTTGGCTACTTTTTGGTCAAGAAAAACCCAAAGCTCCACATTCGCGAGTTTTGCTTGTGCCGAGAGAAGGAACTGTTGAGAAACCAGGCTCCCTTTCACGGAGCGTATTCCGCGCAAGCTAACATACATATTTCGAGGGAGAATGGGGGAGGCTGATGCTTTTTTGAGGACATTAAAGTGTGATTGACTGAAGCGGCCTTAGTCTGGTTCAAATGAACTCGTCACCATTCTCAGCTGTTTTGGCCTGTGCCACGTTTCGTTCGCACAGAAGGCCTGCTGTGATTCTCCACAGTGACATAAATTTCGACCAACAAGGCTGCTGCGAGCTGAAAACCCCCAGACGTGGTGGTAGTGGGTAATATTATTCGCCATCGACGTGGGTGCGTCTGCGTGTGTTCGAACGGGCTTGGTGGATACTTAAGTAACTTGACGAGAATCAAAACAACCAATGAGAATGCGTGGTTAGGTGCCTCTAGCAAAATGTCTCCTTTGACCAGGTAAGACTATTTGCTGCCTTAATGATGAATGCTGCATTGATTTTGGTGTGTTATTTATTGATTTGTAGAAGTGGAACTTTGTGAGCTCGTGTATTCGCACTTTTAATGATGCTCAGAGTTTTGAGAAACGGTCCCTTTTAACCGATTTTTTTGGTACTCGAGTCGTGTATTGGGTTAGTGCTTAGGTTTGGTTATAAGTATTGCCGTTTTCACTTCCAATTACAACGTAGTGCTGATTAAGGCAAGTGCGCCTCCTCTTTCACGTGTGCCGGCCACTGAGGCGATTTCTGCTATATTTATCGTGTCCATCTTGTCACGTAGTAATATAGTGCTCAGTGGCAGAAGTGACACAACGCTTAAATTTGGGTGGACAGTTAAATGAGTTCCACTAGTGCATCAGCAATTGATTTTGAGGTTTTGCAATGCTACAGAAAGTCATTTAAACTTAATCCGTGGATTAGTGGATTTCTTGTCTGTGTTAGCATGATTTGTCACCACGAAAATGCATAAGGTATAAAAAGTGTGTAAGTGTGCCAGACACGTGAGTTGGATTTAACACGGGTAAGGAACTAGAGTATTATCTGACGATAACCGTGAATTACTAACACGGTGCCTGAAACATGGTCTAGTTAACCATGACCGCGAAATTACTCTTCGGAAAAACATTACAATCATATTGTTGGTCTTTTACTGAAGTTCAATAAGTAGGTGGTTTTGCATCCATTTTAGAAAACAACAAATCAGGCTTGAAGCAACAAACAATGACTCCATTGATAGCCATCTTCGCTATTCTGTTATCACTGCTGCTTATATCTTCAATAGTTATACTTTTCATGCGGTGGCGCAAGAAAAACGCCAGCGCTATGTTGAGGTGAGCCTTTAGTCCCATTTATCACGGCCAAGAGAGAAGAATAAACTATTCTTGATTTTGCACAACCCCCAATCGGGTCACTTGGGGCCGCCTGCTGCTGAAACTTCACTCTTGGTTGACATGGGAACCCGTTTTATCTTAATCGACCTAATCAAATTACAAGATAGACGATTGTGGGTTCTGGTATTTGTGTGCAGGAGTGAGTGCAGGCGAGTTTTGCGTGTATCCACGCCACGGTTTCACAAGTCCCCCACACATGCACCTCGCGGCTGGCCTCGAGTCGTAACACTTACATCTAACCCAGATGCGTTTACGTGAATACTACTGAAGACTTCGTCTTCGTTCCCTCGTGTGGGAGGCAGCTTAATGTCAAACTGACCTGATTACAAATTGGTCAGGTATAATGACCTCTGCCAAACACCACAACCCACCAAAGAAGGTTCACTCATTACACTATATGCCATGCAACACACATCGTGCACAAGCTAGTAGCCAAATATTATAATTATTGCATGATCTTGTGTGCGAATGTGTGACAGGAGGGGATCAGTGAGGTCGTCTTGACACGTATCCACTGAGGCTGCCTAAAAAGCGGTTGATTCAGGATGCAATCTAAACGGCCATCATTGTGCTGACACAAGATCCATATCGGCTGCCTTCATGCTGCATTGTAGAGATTGTGTGATGCATTTCTTCTGAGAGAATTAGGCTTTGCAAAACTGGGCACAATTGCTCCACTACTACGTTACCTTTTGCCTCCGTAACTGGTGATACTTTTTGATCCGGTGAAATAAACTGAGTAATCTGTCAATTGGCTGTTTGTTGTAGGGATATCCCAGAGGCGGTGATGGCTCCGACCTTCACATTCAAAGCCGATCAACAGAACCAGTCAGTCGAGTACGCGTAGTTTCAGGTGATCCCCTGTCATTACCTCCAGTTCTGTCCAACGCTATCAACGTCTTCATTCCCATGCTTTTTTCTTACCCTCATCTAAACTGACTGCTGACTAAATGTACCTGAGACTGATGGTATCCTTTCGATTTTGATGATTTGACACGGTTGGGTGCCTTTTGGTCGACCACACTCTAGTTGATGCAGGGTGAGTCTTGACAGACCACACGTGCACCGCCTTCACTGTCCACAGGCCTCCCCCTCCCACTCCTCACCACGTCACGTGCCACTTCCTCCGTGCATTGCTGTTCTTTGTGTGAGCTCACTCAAATAAATGTCTAAATTGGTCGGTGCACTTGTAGTGGACCGTTTTTTTCTGATCTTCAACTGCGACACGACCTTAAGAGACTGTGCTGGCAACGCCATTCATTCGCATGTGGGGCAAAGCATAACTCGTAGTGGCACCGTCTGGTGGGTGCATTCGTGAATACCTGAGCCAATCTGGGTGCATTAAATAATCGTGCGTTTGAAGTACTTAGTCAGTTTATGCGCAACACGAAATGATGTCGTGGATAGATTTAAAATGTCATTTGGTTTCGGTGATAAATCACCCGTGTGGAAGTGTTTAGTGGGAAGGTACAGGGTGTTATGTGGGTGTGCACTTGCTAATACCGAGGAGTGAAGTCCAGAACATGGTGATAAAAGGGGTTCGAAATCACGCGATGCCACAGCGATCAAATTTCCATCAGGCAGCGTGTAGAGTGCAGATTACTTGTGTCGTGAGCATTCTTGCACCTTGTTAAACCACTTACGTGTCGATGGTCCCATCTGCACCACCTTCAGCTAGCCCGGGCATGTGAATGTTATTGGAAGAATAAAATGCCACGTGCTCATCTGACAAGTGGGGATGAGCAGGTGGTATCAGATGGAAATGACTTGGGTCGCACAGACTAATCCCACAGTGGTCGAACGGCGAAGTGTCAAGTAGCAGGAAGTGGTTGCGGGGTAGCCGTGCTACTTTGGCGATTTGGTTGATTTCACCGTGGTTGTCCGGACACTTCGGGCTTGAGTTGTGCGCAAACTATGCAGACCACCTGGGATGTAAAGGTGCATCGACGGTTTTAGCGAATCTAATGCACATGCGTTTTGTAAATATTTGAGGTAACCATAATGTTGAGTTAGAAACCCGCTTCCCCTGTTTCCTAAGCTCCTAAGTACCAGCTGCTCTACAAGAGTCGCGTGCCGATTTCATGCAGTGTACAGTTAGTACGCGTAGGCTTGCCCTGCTGGAACTTGTTCCGATTTTGCGGTTGTCAAAACTGAAGTAACGTCCTCCCAACTACCCCTAACTCCCGCTCCTGACTGAGTGCAGACAGGACTGCACTCAGACTGTCACTATACATGCTTGAGGGGTTCAAATCGGCTGCAAGGAAATCCCTGAGTCATCTTGTTTCTCCGTTATCGAAACGGCACAATTTCGCATCTCTTGTACCAACTAGGAGGAAATGAAACGAGTCACATTTCGCACCATCAAAATGCACGATAATTTTGAACTTGGGATTATCCACCTAGATGCGTCTGAGCAGCGGAACGAGCCTGTTGGGCAATACAAGTCTAATAATGACCTCCAGATGATGTGTCTCTGGTCAGGTGCCTCAGGTTTTCAGTTGACAAAGAACGACTGTGCTGTGATGCTGTTATCGAACCCAAGTTGTTCTGAATTCGAAAGTGGAACATGTCATTCTGTATAGTTTTTACAGTTACTCCTGTTTGTCAAATTAATTGTTTAATACATGTATTTTCGACCGTCTTACGCCAGTGTTGCGCTAATTCCTCAAATTCGGTTGCTAAGTCTCAGTTATTCTCCATTTTGACACCCCCTCGGATCAGCGGGTGACCCCCTCCCCCCTGGTGCGTGTTGGCATCGTCGTGCCGACCTGTTTGTTCAAGGCGCGAAGTGTCGAGGCGACAGCGCTAACAAGTCGCCAAAAATGTGGTTACCGAGGTGTCTAATTAGAGGAAGGAATTTCACATTGGTCTGTTCGCGATATCATCTGATCCTCGAAGTTATGTGTTCGAGGTCAACCTCTAATGGACTAATTGTGGTCGCACTTGTTTGTGGAGGGATTGCACAGGTTTGACCACAAAATTGGCTTCACAAATCAACCGGCAGAAATACGAGTGCGAATCATAAAGCGTGGGAGTCGGAATTGATGCATGTTATGCATGAAAAGTGGCGTTCTTCGATAAGCATTAACAAATTCCTAATCCATGCAGATACAATCACAACACCACCATGGTCAACTTGGTAAAACATGTGCATGCGAAGAGATGTTTAGGCAAATTGTCCCAGCTAGGTATTTTGCAGAAAAAGTCAAGTATTCATATTTCATAACTAGCATAGGTTGCAAGTACTTGGAGTTTATTAAATTATCGAGGTGCATCATTAAATGGCACAATTTTTGAGTGTGTCTGCACATTCGGTCCAATTTTAGGACACCTAACAAACCACAGACTGAAGCTATTTGTGAATTATTGCGTGGAGTGCATGGCATTTTCACGTCTTGCCTGTTCATAACCAAGTTGCCTGTAAAGCGCTGAGCATTCATGGAACGTGAGCAATCTCAGGAACGATGGGTATGGAGGCATCGATGCTTAGTTACAACTTCCGGGTATAATTCACGGCTTCAAAGTACTATCTTTAATTTATTATAATTCTTGACTAGACTGAAGTCAAGGTTGCAGCTCACCAATCACCGGCACTTCACACATTTTCGATTCTGGTCCCTATCCATTTTAGATAGCTCAAATTAATAACTGCGAACCCGTCAGCTAGCTGTAGACAAATGTCCCACACATGTACGGTTAAAGGTTAGACCTCTGCACGATCTCAGTTATACGTTTTTCGCAATCACCTAGATTATTTTCATTGCTGGTAGCCTGCGGTAACTTGCATCATGGTATATCTGACTTCCTCACAAGCGTTTTTGCAATTGTGCAGTTGAGTGAAACCCATGAGTAGACACCAAACCTGGAACCTTTATTCCCATTTAACACAAGGTTCTATGCGCGCATTTAACGCACACTCCCATCTTGACGATTGTCTTTTCTGAACACTGATTGTGGTCTACTCCTACTGTGGAAGAATTGGTTTCGTTATCTGCGTTGCATCCTAACTATTCCTTGAAAGAATCCCGGCACTCACACTTTTCTTTGGTATCCCGAATTGCTTATTCCGAAGAGATCCTGCAATCCAACAAATCGCTGTCTCGGTTGTGTCATAGCCAGATGGACCAAACGGCGATAATTCGTTTGTAATTCTCCGGTTTGGCTACTCGCCTGTCGCATCGATGCCGCTGTGTGTGTTATCTCACGATCGGAACGTACTTATTACTCACAAGTTGGTAATTTCTGTTTTCTAATGCACTGGAATGAATAAACAAGTTTTGAAGTTCTTGTTCCTCTACGGAGAGTTATTTGGACATGCAATCTGTGTTTTACAAAGGCGCGTATTCATTGATAGCTCATGAAACTGCTGGCTGCGTCCTTAGCAAAAACGTGCCGAAATGTTTTGTCTGCATAGAAATCAATCTCATGGTTTGTGGTCCTTTTAAAGGTTATTTTGCCTTAAATAAGTCAACACAACCGCTAAGACGTATTCGCCCTGACTTTTTGCATTTACCCACTGACCGCAAATTAACAGTCCGAAGTTTAAAGAATTAAAACGGGTTTCACCCAGTCCATCAATGCGTCCCGTAGTTATGGAAATTATCGTGGCAGCGGTTGTTTATTTAGCAGATAAACTGCGCCTTATTAGAAGCAGGGAATATACTATTCAGTCTCAAGTTAACTAGGGAATGCGACTCCCACAACTAACGTCACCGTTAAACGGAACACAGAGTCAAATTTCAAAACGATTTTTCAATGTTTTCTTTGTTAAACTTTCTACCACTTTCTAGAATGGCTGCCCAATTGCACCCAAATGTGGTATCTCAACCTGATCGCCTATGCCTTAATGTCATGGTTGTGGTGTTTTCGCCATATTCTTTCTTAGAATGGGTTTAAATCTCAGTGAGGCTGCCAAATATCTCCCTTTTCTTCAAGAACATAAAAATCTTGGTTCGACATCTTACATGTTGGTACATTTAAATAAACAGATACGTTTGGAGTGCAGAAACCACTTGAACATCCGCAATGACTTCCTGGGATCCAGTCCGACATGGATGTTCATGATGGAAAGCCAATAAATCAATGTTAATCTGAATAGCAAATAGGTTTAGGCCCCTATTGCTGCCGCATATGCAAGGAGGCAAATATTTCAGAAGTTATACCTCTGAGGTCGACTTTTAAGACCCTGACTGAGGCACCAGGTGCGTTGACGCACTCGAAAATGTTTTTTTAAAGTGGAGTGTGACTGAAAAACCTTAGCTAATGCTTTGATTTTGAGTTAGAGAAAGGTATCTTTGCAAAACTGACACACGTTATCATTGTTAATACAATAAATAGGGATTTAACGCATGAGGATGAGTGTGAGTGGAAAAGGGACTTGGAAGAGTTCACGATTGTTGCAGTGCGGCTTGGTTAACAGCCTCGATTGCAGCAAGAGTCATCCGTTCAATCATACGACTTAAATTCTCCCTGGAACAATTGAAGATCCTCTGAAAGACTCCCTGAAGCAAAAAAGAGGCCACCTCAGGCACAGACTCGATCGCAGCCGAGCACTGCAGCAAGGCCTTCGTTCTCTCACGATTTGCGAAACTGTTCGTTCGAATGTGTGCCGACAAGTTGTGATGAATAAGGTTGCACAGCCTTTGGAGATGATCGTGTCCTAAAAAGCATGAATAGACACAGATCTCCTGGTGCATCAGCCAAGGAGTGTTCTTAGCACCTAGTTCAGAGGTAATTTGAGTGTTGACGAATGGAACAACTGTGTGTGTCATTGTGGCATGAATAGTATGAGAGTTTCAAATCACACGTACGCAACAAGCTGTAACTTGGAATACAAAATCCCGAGACCCGATTTGAAGTTCAGATTCTGAGCTTGTACGCCACCGACAATGACATATTCTACTCACATTTAAAAAACCCAATTTACGATCTCGTGCTTTTTTGAATCAACTAATTCGTTACCTACAACCCCCAGCATGGTAGGAGTCCGTTCGCTGGAAAGTATCAGTGACTGTCAAGTCTGGTGGGTTTTTTGAACGCTATACAAACTGATTCAAGAGAACGAATTTTTACACTTGAATGCAGCAGACTGCATTCGAATCGATTAATAAAATCACTAAAACCCATATATTAGACCTAGCATCCATCGGGTTAATTTTCCTTAACACAGCATTTCGCGGTTTACTAAAGCCATTCAAGGAAATTGCACTAGAGGCTCATTGGAATGAACATTTCTTGTTTTTGTGCAAGTAGGACGTATTGATCGGCATGAATTCAACTCCAACCGAGCTCGAACTGCCAACTTTAATGCCCATTTTCCTCTTTATTCTTAGCAATCAGGTCGGTATCCACCTGTGACAGAGTTGTCATGTCAATGGCTACGGGCGGATCCGACGACAATGCAGCAGTCTGGATTTCGGTATTTGATAGAAGTACGACATGTTGGCTAGTCAAGAAGGGAACATACCGCGTGTGGTTGCAGGGCTCTCCCCCGTCCTAAAAAGACTGAGCGTCTTGAGTAAGCTGAACTCCTCAGGTGAAGGTCGCAGATCGGTAATGTTCCTTACGATCGTGCCAATCCTTTCAGTAGCCTCCGCAGAACCTACAAGGTTGATTAGGCATCATTTGATGAGACTGTCTCTTAGCGCGTATTTTTTAAACAACGTGAGCCCAGCCCACTGATATGCCTGGCCTCAATTGAATATTCGGCCAGCAACGCGAAGTCACCTTCGCCCGAGCTGACTTGGTGACTCAGCCAAAAAAACCATTTTCAAGGCTGTAAGAGCTAATAAGATAGGCACACCAAGATTATGTGTGATTGACACGTGATAATAGTACCACGTGCCACCAGGTGCAAGAGGGCCTTAGAGACAAAAACATAACCAGCAGGACGAATAGTTTTCCAACTCATCACAAAACCAGCGAGGCGAATTCGTGGAAATTCGCCGCCTCGTACATGCATATACACAAATGCAAACAAAACAAGCATTGAATCGTTTGGTTTGGCGATGGATGATTCATGTTGGGGCAGAGTGTGATTAGGCGAGATCTCAGGGAGTTCGCGTCTTGTCGATGCACCATGCGGCGCCGAAGCACGTGATCATGCCGTGGAATGGTGAAAAATCATTGATAATGCTTGGAGACTTGAAGGGTTTCACGTAGGAGGATAGTGGCACTCGCAGACAATCATTTTGCTATGGTTCGGGTCAATAAAACATGTCGCAAATCAATATTCAATTCTGTTTATTTTTGATCACGTCTTGGACATGACCTCAGAGCTAACGTCTCAGATCTTGCCCTCAAAACACCTGAATGGATGTGACGTTGATCGCTGATTAGCTAACATGGATTTAATTAAGGTGACAAAGTGATATTAGACGCGATTTGGAGGCAAGTGGAATCCATTGGGGTGCGAAACTGTAACGGCCGTTATCACTCACGATTGGCAGTACTGAACACAGTAGCGTCGTTATCACATTCAACGGTACCTTTTCACAGGTGGATTAAAAACGATGGTTTAAGTGGTGAGCACTTTGCAGCGTGAGTCCTACTCTCCTTTCAACCATGACTTCCCACGGTTCGGAAGACCGCATATATGACTGAGTTAACACCACGTTACACCAGAGTGGGTGTGTGTGTGTTTGTGAATGTGTCAAGGTTTTGTGTGAGAACGCAGTTCTGGAGATTTAATAGTCAGTGGGTGTACCACAATGTCATGCACAAACCAAACTGGTGATAATTTATTGGCTTTTGAAATTATGGTGAAGAAGGGGTGTCGCTGAAATGCAACCAGTCTCAAACCACGTCTGTGCGAGGGTTGGTTTTGCATTCCTGACAGGCACAGACACCTTCGTGATTGTGTGAACTTCCGTGACTCTGGATTAGCACTCATCCTTCATGCATGACAAATGATCGCCTTCTGATATTGAGAGTTCCTGTATGCAACATCGGACACTTGATTGCAATCGAGATACTGTTGAATGAGACGAGAAGTGGTTTGGAGGGTTGTGGAGGATGACAACGTGTCCTACAAGTGCTGCACTCCGGCAATTAACTCACAGTCTACCCATTAACATGATGACGAATGAAATCGATGCGAGTGAATAGTTCCCTTCAGCCTCCTCCAGTTCCTTGGGCTGTACTACTTTTCAACGCAATCTCATGCATGTGCGTAGAACTGAAGATTAGGACAGTTAAGCTGGTTACACGGGTTCGGTTATTATGGTGGTTGGATAATTGTCAAGAGCACATGAGACAATGAGTTGGTTCAATGTCAGCCAGTAGAATCAAGCAATGGGAAGAGGAGTCCTGTAAATCGAATTGAAGGTCACAGTGAAATTGTCTGAAAGAAGGGTTACCAGTGGTTATGGTGAATGTAAGAACTACAGTCACTTGACTGTACTCAGACACGAGTTCCATGATTCAGCAAAAAAACATCTTAAATCGAAAAGCGCGTTGACCAAATCCCACTCACCCTGATTTGCAGAAGCCTCCATGGCGTATATTACACCCAGAAACTTGACGAATTTGCTACCCTCGACGCCACCAATGAAGGCCTCAATGGCTTCGACGAGGAACACTCGAGGCCAGGTGCGGCACATGAGGCTGGCCAGTTCACCGCTCGACATCTGCATATTCGATGGTGCACTGAGTGGCTGTGTGACTTGACGAAGCACCTGTCGGTCTGGTCTCGCTGTGCTGATCCACGTCATTGTGGAGAGCAAAACGCCATTGATGAATGTCGCCAATTCTTCTGGTGTGAGCGGCACCAACGCAGAAGTCGAACCCATGGCTTCGACCTTGTCCTTCGCCTTTGCTGAAAGTCGCACAAGCATGTTGTCAACAGTTTCGACAATGATGCCCTCCACACTGCATGCCACTACTGAATTGGTGCTTTACTTGCATTTGCTGACCTGACCTAGGATTTCTTCAGTACTGTACTTTGCACCGTCATGCTTGGAAGTCAGTGGATATCAATGACACTCGACACAGCCTACCGTG